GCTTAGATTAACATACGCCTTCTAGATTAGGGCTAATCAGGGGCAGGCTGAGCAGATGCAGGAGACAGTCCTAGCCTGATTACCTTACCTCAGCATTTAATCATCTCTCTTCCAAGGACAACCAACCCAGCATAGTGCATGCTGGGTCTCAGAAGCTGCTAGGTCAGAGACACTGAGACGATTTATTTAATCCCATGTCAGCATGGCGCTGTGTGTGTGTGTGAGAGAGAGAGAGAGAGAGCATGGGAGGGGGAGAGAGAGAGAGGGAAAGATTTTCTAAAATCCCCTCAGTAGAATGGTAATGCATTTATTTAAGGTGGAGGTAAACTAAATCTGAATGTAGAAAATGATGGAATTGAGATTTCAAGGCATTTGCAGTTATGAAATGACCCTGTATATGGAGTTTCTCCCTCTGAAAAGCTTCTCAGACATGTCACCAGGTATTCACTATTGAGACAGCTTTGTGTGGGAGTGATTTCATCACCCAGTTGTAGAGGCCAAATTGACTTCTCTAATTGTGAGGTGAAGTACAAAAGATGAAATCTTTAAAAAAGATTCTATCATGTTGAGCCCTGAATCATGTTGGAGTCCTGTAGTAGTGTTTTGGCTGCTGGTTTCTGGACAGGGAGCTCCCATTCTGAAACAGCCCGATCATTCCTCAGATTCACCCACTTCAGTCACTCAGTCCCTAGAAGGGATTCTTGTTAAATTTCATAAGGCAGGTTTCATTCATAAGCATAGAAAACACTTACTGAGCTGATTGCTGGGGACCTCAAGATGGTAACCCCATGCCTCCTTTATGGACTTCACAATTTCTTTGGAGATATAACAGTTAAACAGTGATAAAGGAATATGACTATTGCCTCTATGGGGGCCAGTGCAAAGTGCTTTGGGACTTCAAGAGGAGAGACTGTAAGACAGAGGAGAGACTGGAGCTGACTATTGAAGAAAGAATAGGAACTGCTTAAAGGAAGAAGCCAAGGACAGTCATTCCAAGCTGTCTAGGGGTGTGTGCGGGTCCTAGGCGTGTGTATGTGGAGAACCTCAATTATACACTTCACCTGGCTGCACTGTAAAGTGTGTGGGGATTCGTGGATCACCAAGCTGAACTGAAAAATGGGCTGATGTGAAGGCTTTAAATACCTACAGAGGGATTTGGACTTTATATCCCATGGGCCATTGGAAACCACTAAAGAATCGTAAAAGATAAGTGTGTATTCTGGTTATAGCAGTATTAACCAATATATATTTTTGCATTTGAATCTTTCTCCATTTTCATTCTGGGGCAAATCTTTCATGATACTTAAAAACTATTTTAATATCAGTGTTGGGCATAAACCCACATCCCAAACCCAAACACATCATAAACCAGAGTGAAAGAAATTTAACTCTCACAATTAAGTTTTTCTCTACCTTAGCCCTAACCTAGAATGGCTGCTCACGTGTAGGAAGACTCTCCCTCCTAACAGAAGTCGCTGTATCTGTAGAGTGAGAGACTTGTTTCTCAAGTTTGGAGCTTTTGGGAGCTGAACCCAGCCCAAGAAGCAAGAGCAATGCTATGACACTGACCTTTGTGTCTCCTTTAATTGCCCTTTGCCAGCATGTGGGCTTTTTGGAGGATAACTTGAGTGACCCGGATTTGCCACTGGGTGTTTTGGGTTACTTCATTAACTTTGTTTTGACCAGAAGAGAGGATGGAAGCAATGAAAACAATTAGATAACATTTTCACCACTGAAAATTAACATACTTGTCTCTTTTCTGCATTAAAATTTCTGATAAAAATCACATGGTGCATAGACCTCTCCTGCCATGCCCGCTGCTCCCCTCAGCAGTGTATTTCGTCAGTCTGTCTATTCTGTTCCCCGCTCTGGCTCTGGTAAATTCTCTCACCCTCCCTCTCACTCTTCTGACTGTACTCAGAACTTGTATAAATTAATTAATTTTAAAAATCTTTTAAAATTAATTTTTATTTTTATCAAACATGGATTTAAATGTCAAAAAGGACTAAGAGACCTTTAAAAAGAAAAAAAAGACTGTACCCCAGAGGCTCTTTTTTCTGATACGTATCTTTAGCACTCTAGATAATAGTCTTATACCATTATTTCTTGAGACATTATCGCACTTTTGTGATAACTCAGTTTCTATGTTTATATTATTATAACCACATAAAAACTGCTCACTGCGAAGATGAGGGCATTATAATTATTATGGTTAGTACTTACCTGTTTTTTTCCTTCTACTTTTTAAGTAGTAATCACCAGGTTCACCAGTTCTACTCTATTCTGGAAACCCCCTCTCAGTACTCTCTCCTATGTGGTCTTGCCATATTCCCTCTTTTTCCTTCTCAGACTTGCTCCACAGCCCTCCTCCTGCCGCAGAGCCCTCAACAAGAGTCTCTGTCTTCTTCATCCTATGGCCACTTCTTTCTTAGTTTCTCTCTAGTTTCGGAGGAGCACATCCTTTAAAACTTCCTGAGAAAGGCTGCAGGGGTCGCCAGTTTTTAGAGCTCTTACAGGTCTGAAGATGACTTTTTCTGCCCCCACTTTTAATTGATGAGGGTTACATTTTATGGGCTGGGTCTAGAATTCTAGGCTGCACACATTTTCTCTGACATTTGAAGGTAGTGCTCCATCATCTTCTAGCTGCCAGACTGACTTTTGCAAAGTCCCAGTTCTTTGTCTATGTCATTTTTTTTTCCCTTTCTGGAGTCATTTAGGATCTTTGCTTTATCCCTAGCATTCTGGCAGAGCTGTGTCGGTGCCTGGATCTTTTTTATCTGTTGTGCTAGGCATCTAATGGCCTATTCAATCTGAAATCTGTTTTTCAATTTTATAAATTTCTTACAATATGTCTGATAATTTACTATTTTCTGTTCTGTTGTCTTTGGAATTCTCTTTCATCAGAGGCTGGACCTCTTAAGTCTAATATTAACTCCTGTTTTCCATCTTTTAATCTTTTCTACCCTCTGGAAGATTTCCTTGATTTCATCTTCTCATCTTTCTTTGGGATATATTTCATCTATTGGGTGTTTTAATTTTAATTTTTTCTTCATATTTTAAAATAAAAACATTGCATTGTTAAGCTATAAATCTCCTGAAAATTTAAGCTATAAATCTCGCCTGAAAATATTAGCATTTTAAAGTATTTTATTTTTCTTCTTCCACGTTGTCTCTGCCACCTTTGTGTTCTTTGAGTGAGAGATGCTGAAACACAGATTGTCCAGGTGTGTAGGTAGAGCGAGGTGACTTAGGCCTTGAAGTGCCTCACTGTAGGACTTTTCTTGGGCCTCTCCAGTTCTGTGTCTCCATAGAGTAGAACAAACCCCCATGTACTGTCAGCAAAGGTGCACGTATGTGAGTGTCAGGCTCAGTACCGCCTGTTTGGGCCTCTCTACAGTGGCTCTGCCCCTGCATCCCAATATTTTGACATTCCCCACTTTTATCATTTTCCCCCCTTCATTATAATTTCAGTTTTAAGAGGACACGTGCATTTATTTTGACTTATTTAACTAGAAACTCTTTTTAAATAGGCCATATAGAAGTATCAATTTCACTTTTTTTTTTTTAAAGATTTATTTATGCATACAAGAACTGGGGTACAGGCCAGAGGTGTGAGGGGGTGAGAGGATTCATCAGAGACAGAGTGGGGAACAGAACAGTCAGATTGATTGAAATACACTGCTGAGCGGAGCAGCGGGCGAGACAGGAGAGGTCTGCTGCACCATGTGAGTCAGCTCCCTGACCGGGGATTGAACTCATGCTGCAATTACTGCGGATAGCTTCATAGGTTGCGTCTTAACCCCTTGCGCCACCAGGGAGGCCTTAGGCTTTACTTTGAAAGGATTGCCCTTTTCTGAGATTACATGTTTTTTTCCTTTTTTTCTACTAAACTTCCCTTCCTACTGTGAAATAATAATGATATTAGGAGGTGTAGTGGGTTTTTTTAAGTTGATCCCAAAATGCATTTTTTTTTTAAGTTTTTACTAGTTGTGAAATCTAAAGTCTGGGCTTTTAGAAAAAATAAACTGGGCCTCCCTGGTTGTGCAAGGGTTAAAGTCTTGGAGTTATCAAGCTATCGCCAGCCACTGCGGCATAAATTCTAGTTGGACCTGGCCAGGGAGCTTCCCACATGGCGCAGCAGACCTCTCCTGTCTCGCCCGCTGCTCCCCTCAGCAGTGTATTTCAGTAGATCTGCCTGTTCTGCTCCCCACCCTGTCCCTGGTGAATCCTCTCACACACACACACCCCCACACCTCTGGCCTGTACTCCAGTTCTTTTTTTTTTTTTTTAATACATTTTTTTTTTAAGATTTATTTGTTTATTTATTTATACAAGCACTGGGTACAGTCAGAAGCACGGGAGGGTGAGAGAATTCACCAGAGCCAGAGCGGGGAGCAGAGCAGGCAGAAGGACCGAAGTACACTGCTGAGGGAAGCAGCGGGCGGCAGGAGAGGTCTGCGCGCCATGTGGGACCCTCCTCCGGTGGCCGTGGCCGCGGAGCAGCCGGGGATCGAACTGGAGCTGCAGAGGCTGCAGGCAGCTTCGCAACCCAGCGCTCAACCGCTGCGCCACTGGGGAGGCCCTGTACTCCAGTTCTTATATGCCTAAATAAATAAATCTTTTTTAAAATAAATAAATAAACTGACCAAAACAAGGGACGGTGGCCAGAAGACAGCGTGATATTGAGGAAGAAGTTTTATTTCAAACTGAGAAAACTTAAGCATAAGCAGAAATGTGGAGGCAAACAGGCTCAGCTCTTGGCAAGTTGGGGAGGTCCTGCCCTAAAGCCTGTTTCTACAATTTCTTTCCTTACAGTCGATTTCAAAGAATTAAAATGTGGTGAGGAAAGGTGGGAGGTATTTGCCTGGACAATGGGTATGCGATTACCTGGGGCTGAAGACAGTGATACCCTGAAGGGCTGGAATTGCTGCCCTGTCCAGCCAGCATCTGGGAACCTGAGCCCCATCCCCACTAACACTTTCCCCCCTCTGTCTTCCCAGGACTGGTCCAGATCCCTGTGAGCATGTACCAGACTGTGGTAACCAGCCTCGCCCAGGGCAACGGGCCGGTGCAGGTGGCCATGGCCCCTGTGACCACCAGGATATCGGACAGCACAGTCACCGTGGACGGCCAAGCTGTGGAGGTGGTAACATTGGAACAGTGACATGCAGCCATATCATGGCATCGTTTTCTAGTCTACTTCAAGATTTTTTACACGTTTGCAGAGGTGCAATCAAATGGAATTAAGTCTCTTGACTTTGGAAGAAAAGTTTTGTTAACCTTTTTTTTTTAAAAAGGAAAAAGGCAGCAGATTTTGGAATTGCATTTTTTAAAGCACCACTCTTGATTTTCTGGGATTGGTGGAATGAGATACTATGTTGTCAGTTTCACTGTCCCGAAAAAGCCAAATTGTGGCAGGACTTCTTTCTGCGGAAACATGTGTGTATACTTATGTGTGTGTATGTGTGAGTGTGAATATATGTATATGTGTACATATGGATATACACATTTACATATATAAAGTATATATATATGTGTGTATATATATGTGTATATATATATGAAACCCGCATGGAAGTAACTTTATAAAATCAAGGTGAGCTGTGGAAAAAAATAATTCACCCAGTTTAGTGGGTGTAGGGTACGTGGCCAGACACAGTCACCCGGTTTTTGTTCGTACCAGGGTCATGCGTTGAGCTACTGACAAACTCAGGCGGAGGTTACCATGCCCTTCACCAAAGCTGCCTCCCAGTGGCCACCCAGAAGTCTCCCTGCTGGACTCACCTAAGGAGATTCCAGAACCGGGTAGGGTCCAGAAACTGTGCTTGCAAGGTCCAAGAGCCTCTGGGTCCAGCAGCTGAGCCGCTCCTCGGGCTGGCCCAGGTGAATGCCACATACAGGTGAATGTCCTTAAAGCTGACCTTGCCACATACAGGTGAATGTCCTTAAAGCTCCAGGCTGGGCGGACAAGAGGATTTCCCTCAGCCTCCTCCTCTTCCCTTCCCAGGAAACCTTCTTGATCTCCTGACTATTAAAATGTTGCTTTGGTTTTAAGGTCAGTCCTGAAGCAGTCATGTATATGAACTGAAGGTAACACAAGTATTAAGGGTTCAAGGAGTGTGTGCACATTAAGTGTGCTTGTGGATGTGTATGGGGGGGTGGGGAGGGTTCGAGAGAATGGGAAGGGGTGGGAGGGATTGGTAGGGGAAAGGAAGGAGGGAGAGAGATCTTAAGACCAGGGTACACCAACAGGAGTGATTTTCTCCTTTCCTGTAACTTCCTGTAGCTTAGCAGAAGAGGTTGGCACAGCAAGGGGCACCTGGCTGGAGGAAGGCTGGCCCCCCACAATGGGGGTGTTAGAAAAGAAAGGAACTGAATGTATTCCTGCGCCCCTGGATCAGACCCTGTTTTCTGAAGGGCTGCTGCAGTTTTCCCAGGTACATCGTGTTTGGCCCAGGCCCAGGCCCGGAACAGCCACCTCCGCACTGGCGTTGATGGGTCTGGATGTTCTTTGTAACAACTAGGTCCTGTGATTTCTCAGCTGCAAGCCCTGTGTCTCCAGTGGCTACATTCACCTGACTTCACAGGCCAAATCTCTGCTCCTTGAGTACAGGGACAACTCTTCCTCCCTCCTCCCGGGTCCCCCCATGTGTGATAGCGTATTTAATGTGTTTTTTTAATGCGACATTAAAAATTATATGTCTTGCTCAGCTTTTGAGAAAAGTTTCAGATTCTTGTATTTGCTTGTTTTATATAAAACTATCCAATGTTCTTTGTATGTTTTTTTTTTTTCTGTACGTAATGGGGGGAGGGAAGGGAGATTTACATATAAACAGTCCTAGTTCTACAATTTGTTGTTTTTGTTTTTTAAAAAAAAAAATTTTTTTTATCGTCATTGTGAAGCTGTCAGGGACTTTAAAGTCCGTGTTTCTTTGTGGTGAAATAACCTCCTAATAGTTTGAGAAGTTGCCAAGAAGAAGAAAAAAAGCAAAACCCCAGTAGCAGAGCATGGATTCTGTGTTGTTTTCCATTCTGTCTATTACTGCCTCATTCAATAAATAGTTAAAAATGTGGCAACAGGAAGTGGAACTGTTCATCTCTATAGGAGCACTGGGCCTTTTAGGAACTTTCCTTTGGGTTTGCTCATTCTGCTTTGTAAAGGTGCTGGTGCTCAGTGGCCTTAGAAACTGCTCCTGTCACCGTGGGGCCATACAGGGAGAGCCTAGGATGGAGTTTGGCCTCCTGCTCCCATTGCCAGAGCAGCTCTGCTGAATCAGTCGTGGGAAATGCTGCAGTGAGTTATCCTGCTAGGAGCAGAGGCCAATCCCTCCTTGGACTCTGTTCTAAGGTGCCAGTTGCCACCTTTCTAGCTGCACCTCTTGCCACAGCCCCAGGCCCTTCCTACACCCCAGTGGTTCTGCACCTCCATGTTTGTGCCCGCTCTGTGCCTCAACCTGGAACCATGCCCTCCTGGCCCCTCGCACCGCCTTTTTTGTTGTTGGATATTTGGGTCAGTTTCCTAGCAGTCATGTAAGGAGCTTTGAATGGGAAAGGCCAAGAGTGAGCATCAGGAAGAGTGGTGCTCTCTGAAGCTCACCTCTCCTCCATCCTGCACAAATGGAACACCCTTGCCTGTTGTCACCAGAGAGGAGGGACCAGAGAAAGATCAATGGCAGCCAAGTCAGCCAATCCTCATTGCCACAGGCCATCCATGAGACAGCTGGTTTATGTAGAGCATCTTCTTATTGGGGTGGCATCCTTCAAAGGTGCCTCACTAGACAGTACTCTCTGTTTTCCCAGCAAGACTCAGATGCTGTCTTTTCAACATGCATGTTTTGAAAAGCTTCAGTGGAGCTGATGAAGATGTGGAGACCTTCGCTTCCATTACCGTCCAAGTCACTACCTGCGGGCACCAGGTAGTTAAAATCAGCTGGTGAAATGGAAGCAATTCGCTGTGAGAGGAGTGATGTCTCAGCAGTTGGGCGCATCTGTCCAGAGAGGCCAGCCTCTCCTGAGTTCTAGCAGGTTGTCACCATGCAGAAGTATGGTCCGTGGAATCCCATGTTCAGAATTTTCCAGAGAAGCTGGAGAGTCTAGATTTGTGTATGAACCTCCAAATTTCAACAACAAATCGAAAATTCTTTACATACTCCATAGGCAAGATGAAATTTGCTTATGACCAGAGCTGGCCTGGTGTGTTTTAACTTCACTGCCTGCCACAGCCAGGTGCGTGGAGCGTGGCAGTTGGCCATGTGAAACAAGATGAGAGGAGAAATCCATACAGACCACAGCCCAATGTGGTATGGTGCCATCTGGACAGGGAACTAGAGCAGAACAAGTTACATTATCTCATTTTATCTCCTTAAGGGTCCTTTGCGTTAAGTAGTTTAGCATCTGGGCTGCAGACAAAGATCTGGTGCTCATAGAAGCCGAGGGACCAGGATAGGAATTCTTGGCTTTCGGTCTTAGTACTGAGAAGACCTGTTGGTGATTCGTGGATTTATCTGCACTCAGATGAGCCAAGGAGAACCAGAAGGGCCGGAGGGGGGTAGACGGGGCCGGGGGGTGAAGGGGGTTGGGGGGCGGGGTGTAGAAAGGGGGAGGGCAGGGCTGCCATTCTAAGAAAAGCTCAGGCTGCCCGTTCACACCAAGACCCAAGAAAAGGTCATTTCCAGCTGCTGCTTGTGTGGAAACGAGCCTGCTCCTGCATTCAGCTTCTTCCCTATTTGCAGCCACCCACTTTTCCCCTCAGTAATGCCCCCACAACCTCGGCCATGAGCATGTTGGCCATGGGTCGGCCCCACAATGGGTTCCTTTTGTGTCAGCACCAAAAGCCATCAAGGAGGAAACTGAAGCTTAATTATTGGGAGCAGACACTGGGGGATGACGGGATCCCACATTGTCCCTCTCACCTCCATGTCAGCGGGCTGTGGGCCACTGGGCCATGGACCCAAGCCTGTGGTCTCCGCACAGCTGGTGCTCAGACGCCAGTCCAGGCCCATCTCTACGTTCCCACCTGGCCTCTGCAGCCTGCTTGCCCCAGTGCAGCTCTTGGGGAAGATGTGCTTGGGAAGGCGGAGGCAGCACAGGAGAGGAAGGAGGTGCACAGCGCGGGAGACGCGACTTGAGGACTGGACTCTGAAATGGCAGCAAGTGTGGGTTTTCGCCACCTGCCACCTGCAAGCGGTGCTGTGAACTGAGTGAGTTCCCAGCCCACTCGGAGTTGGAGTTTCCGCCTTCTGGAAACAGTGGGCTGTTAGCAAACATTTGACGTCCTGGAGTGTAATTCTGCAAAGAACTTGAGGTGGGAGGGTGTAAACCGGAAGGAGCAGAGTAACATGCATCTGCAAAGAGGGAACCAGGGAGCCCTAGAACCAGAGTTACCCAAAGCTGCCTTGGAAAACAAGGGCAGGCCTGGATCCCTCGCCCTATCCTGAGGCTTCCCTGGCTCTTGTTTATGAGAACTGTGGCTTGTCTGAATTGTATTTATATGGTGCCCACGATAACCGTTCACACTTACACAGCCTGACAGTGCAGCATGTGCTGTTCTCAGAGACTTGCCTGTATGTTAACCTGTTCAGCCTTTGCACAGTATTACTTATAACCTCACTTTATAGATGAACAAACTGAGGCATAAAGAGATGAAGTTAAATAACTTGGCCAGGTCCAGACTGCTAGTAAGAGGCAGCCCCAATATACAGACTTGGACAGGCTGATCCCAGGGGCTGCGCCCAGAAGGACCGCTTGCCACACTTCTCTCGTGATATGAAATGGACGAAAGTGAAGTGTGTGAGAGCATAAGGTTTTTTCAAAGTAGCTTAATATTTGGAAGAAATAGCTAGAAACTGTCCCCTGAAATTTTATGCACTTACAAATAAAATTGTTGAAGTTTTATTTTTTTTAATGATTGATTTATTTATGCATACAAGAACTGGGGTGTAGGCCAGAGGTGAGGGGTTGAGAGGATTCACCAGTGACAGTGAGGAGCAGAATAGGCAGATCTACTGAAACACACTGCTGAGAGGAGCAGCAGGCGAGACTGGAGAGGTTTGCTGTGCCATGTGGGTCAGCTCCCTGGCCAGGGATTGAACTCATGCCCCAGTGGCTGCCAATAGCTTGATAGCCCAGCACCACCAGTGAGGCCCTGTTGGTGAAGTTTAAATTAACTAGGCTGGGCCTCCCCTGGTGGCACAGCGGTTGAGCGCTGGGTTGTGAGGCTGCCCACAGCCTTTGCAGCACCAGTTCGATCCCTGGCCACCAGCGAGGGTCCCACAAAAAATAAAAAAAAATAAATTAACTGGGCTTCAGCTCAAATTTCCTCTGAATTTATCTGGCCTTTAAAAAATGGATACAACGACCAATTATTAAATGGCCGCTCTGCACCGGATACTATAATGCACTTTACACCCTGGTTTCTGATGCTCACCACAACCCTGTATGGAGGGAAAGAGCCGGCAGCTTCCCAAGGTAAATGCAGCACTAGGAAGAAACCGCTCTCTGTCTCTAGAAGATCTGCACTTTGTGCCTGCCACTCAGGGCCAGCGACAGAAAGCAAGCCGTGCCTCTAGCTCATTGGTTTTAAAGTAACCTCCAGGTGAGTCCTGAACCGACGGGCAGCCTCTCCACTGGTAAGTGTTTTCTGAGTGGCCATAGGATTATGCCATGATCAGTGCCCAAAGCTTGCCACACCCAGGGCAGCCTCCCAGTGGCTGGGCCTTTTCACCTCTCACACATGTGCATGTCCGAGTACACACAGGACTGACGTGCTGCCATACAGCTCTTCAAGTGAGGGGGTTAAGTTTTCCAGTGGTTCCTCATTCAATCAGAAAGTTCCAAGAACTTAAAACATTCATTCCCACACGTTCTCTTTAGTCAACATTTGGAAACATCCAATATTTATGCTAAATAACTTGATGTGAAAATAATGTTGATTTTTATTCCTAAGAAAAATCTGGGCCTGAGTGAATCCTTACAAGGCTTGAAGAGTGGTAAAGAGGCTGGTGCCAAAATACATTCTGCTCATGAGCAGTTACGTTGTGCCATCTTCTTGAAAAGCACCGGGGCCTAACAATCACCAGAGATGAGTTAATGTTAAAACCCAAGCAGCTCTGGGTGAGGCCAACTCAAGTAGTTGGACTGTGGTCTTCAGCT